TGACATTAAGCACGGGGTCCCTCCAGACACCGCCCTTGCTGGCATCTGCAAAGATGGTGTCATGCGCTCGGCGCCCTCCCTCCCCCTCAGGCCGGGGAAGCAGGTGTGGGGACTGTGGGGGGCGGGTGGCCTCTCCCCTCGCCCCCGCTCCCGGCTGCACCTCCTGCCCTGAGGTGCCCTCGCCCCGCCCTGGGAGATGAAAGGATCACCTGTCCGTTCTCTTTTTTTCTTTTCTTTTTGGCACCAACACCCTCCTTAATGCCATGAGAAACGGGTGACCTTCACTCCGGTCTCCATGACAACAAGACGGTGTATGTTTAATTAGCGCGGCTTATTTTAAGGCCCATTTTCCTTCATTTTCGGGCCGTGCGCGCTGTGATCACTGCAGGCGTGTTTACGAGCCGCGCGGCGCAGCCGAAGTGTGCCAACAGCCCCAGCCAGGCAGATGGTGACCCCTGATTCAACCTGCCCCTCATTCAATTATTCAGCTGTATTTAATTTCCTCCGGTGGCGCTGCCGGGCGCCCTCCGGCCGCGAGGTGGCGCGAGAGACCACCCTTAGGGCCTCATCTCCAGGGAAAGCGGGGACAGGGGACCCCGCCCCAGCCTGGCCGGGCGGTGCAGGGGTTCCTGGCTCTCAGCTTTGGACGGGGCTCCGCCCAGGGCAGAGGACGAGGAGGGGGAGGCCCTCGGGTCCCACCATGGGGATGAGGCCCCGCGTCTGTCATCTCCGTTCAAAGACCTTCCAGGCGCAACATCCTCCCGTGTGCTGGGGGTTGCGGGGTAGAGCCGGTGGGTGTTCTAACCGGGAAATGTGTTCATTCTGAGTCTCTGCTACTTCCTTTCCCGCCGCCCACCCCCCGGGGCAGGAGGGGCAGCCGGGACTGGGCTCTTTCCCGGTCCGGGTCCTGCCCAGAGGGACGAGGTGGGTCACTAACCTTTTCAAAGACCAGAACCCAAAGCCCGCAGGAGCCCACAGGCCGGTCCAGGAACCTGTGGAAGACAAAACCTCTGGTTGGGCTATAGCCAGCCCCTCCCTCCCCATCCCACCTGCCCCTCCCCTCCCCCACGGGCCCCTCCCCTAAGTCCTCACCTGAAGGGCTGCCCGCTCCCTGTGTGTGGCTCAGAGCACATCCAGGCCTCCATTCCTACCTCCCTCAGCTGAACAGTTCAGACCTTTAACTCTGGATGGGGGGGTTGTTTTTGTGTTTTGTTAATCCTCACCCAAGGGTATTTTTTCTTTTTGAGAGAGAGAGAGAGAGAGAGAGTGTGAAAGGGAGGGAGGGAGAGACAGAGGGAGAGACAGAGGGAGATAGAAAAACATTGATGTGAGAGAGACACAGTGATTAATTGTCTCCCACACATGCCCTGACATGGGCTGCGACTTGAGCCTGCAGCCAAGGAACATGCCCTGGACCGGAATCGAACCCTCCATCAGTCCTGGGGCCAGTGCTCTAACCACCGAGAAAACAGGCGAACTGGTTCGTGGTGTTTTGATACAGTGAGACGAGCCTGCAGCATAGCTCGCGTATGTTTGCCCCTCAGAGGAGCTCACTTAGAAAGCAGACCTCGTCCTTGCCCTGCATTGGGTCAGACCTCCAGTAAGAGAAGCAAAGCAGCCATGGCCAGCCCAGACCAGGGGGTCCCCTCAGGACACGCTGGGGCCCAGCCTGCTGCCTCAGACCCTGCCCCGGGCTCCAAGGGGCGGTTTCCATAAATACCAGGGGTACTGGCTAATAGTGCGGATTTTGTAATCAAAGAAAACATGATAATTTCAAGAGAAACATCAAAAGTGCTTTATTTAAAGTAATGTCCGTCGCTAGCTACACATTTCCCCCATCTTTCAGGTAACTTGTGGGTACCGTCCCAATAGAACTTTTCTTGTTTTGAGGCAGACCATTCAGAGACCTGATTTCCCACGTCTTCGCACGTTGTGAAGTGCTGCTCAGAAAGTGCGTGTGCCGTCGATCGGAACAAGTGGTCATCTGAGGGAGCGAGGTCTGGTGAATAGGGTGCTTCCCAGGCAAGATCTCTTAACGTGTCTTAACTGGTTTTGAAGCGTGTGATGGTGCATCATCATGAAGCAAAATTACTTTGCCGTGTCTTCTGGAACATTCTGGTTGTTTCACGATCAAAGCGTGGTTCAAATTGATTGTTTGTTGTTGGTAGTGATCAGCATTAATGGTTTCACCTGGTTTTTGAAGCTCGTAATACACTACACCTTCCAGATCCCACCAAAAGCAGAGCATTGTCTTCTTTCTGAAGTGATTTGGCCTTGCAGTTGATGTTGATGGTTGACCTGGATCAACCCATGATTTTGTGCATTTGGGATTCTCAAAATAAATCCACTTTTCATCGTCAGTCACAATTCGATGCAAAAAAGACTTTTTTTCGTGCCTTTGAAGCAACATTTTACTGATGACTTTTCGCTTTTCTATTTGTCTTTCATTCAGTTGATGTGGCACCCCTTTTCCTTCCTTTGAAATCTTTCCCATTGCTTGTAAACGATTGGAAATTGTTTGCTGAGCAACACTAATCTTTCTGCAAGTG